CCCGCGCTCTATTCGGCAGCCGCGTCCTCGGGGGCTCCCTGGTCGCTAGCGCGGAGGTGCACGAGGCACTGGCGCGGGTCACGAAGCGCTCGTCCTACTTCATCTTCTTCTCGACCGCTGCCATACGCGCGCGATTGACGTCACAGCCGTGCGCGCAAGCACGCACGCCGCTACCCCAGGCCCTTCCGCCGCCGGGTTCGTTCACCGCTGCAGCCTCCGCCGCCGCGGGCCACTGCACGACCCTCCGCGCGCGCACTTGCGTTGCGGCCGGCCGGAGCCGCGGCCGGAGCCGGTACGAGAAGTGCGGGTGCTGGGCTCGGGCGCCTGCCTCGAACTGCGCGCTCCCGGCACAGCGCGCGCGGCTCCCGCGGGAGACGTTGCCGCGCCGCCCGCCTCCACCCGCTCACCGCGCGCCCAAGGCCGCTCGCGGAAAATTCGCACGGCGACGGCGGAGGCGGCGGCGAAGGCGGCGGCGGGCTCTTGTCAACAGCTGGTCGAAGCCCTTAATGTGCGCTCGCGCCTGCGGAGATGCTGCGGACGCGCGCGGCGCACCGGGTGGTGGGGAAGGCCACGGCGGACTTTGGCCACGGCCCGATGACTCGCCGTTCCATGGTCGACGTCCACCGAAGAAAAGAGACTTCAACGCTGGATGAAGCCGGAGCCCCGGGCGCTTATGTAAGGCGTTGGCGGTTATGGTGGCGGAGCAGCGTGGGTGGGAGGCGGCTAGGGGCGGAGATTCCCACGTCACCCGCGGGCGCATCCTGTGGCCTTGGTGCGGGCACGCGAGCGCCGGCCTCGCGCTTCCGGCCACAGGTCGCTAAATATACTAGCGGAGGACTGAGGCCGACAGGCTATGGTGTACTCAATCCCACATGACCCCAATGGGCAAATCACGGAAAAAAGACAGTTTTTACAGTGCGGGGACTTTGATTCAGTCATTAAAACGCTAATTAGTACTTTAATAGGGTACAGTATTAAAGAACCTATGTATATGTTCCTGAGCAATACTTTCAATTTGAAGTCCAAAGATTTCATTGAGTTTGTTAGAAACATCTACTTTTATCAGATTTCTTAATGGTGCTGTTTTGGCAATCGAACCTAGATAAGGACAGCAATAAGATTGAAATTTGAAGAATGAAAAAAAGATGTCAAAGATACTGTGAATTGAACTTTTGCAAATGGGTTTACGGTTAATAAAGAGAAAACGATTTTTTAGTGGGACAAGAATAAGCTTTTAAAAGAAAGAATGAAAATTTTATAGTGAGACCAAAATATCAGGTAATCTTCATGGGGGTTATGTCAGTGATGAATACGATTTAATTAAGCTCCTTTGCCACTACCTTGCGAAATAAGAAAAAACACCTAGAGGATATGCACACCCCCAGATGCAGTTTTGAAGAAAAATTGAGAGAGCATGTAAACATACTTCAAAAGAGATATCAGATGTAAAGCTGAGAATTGTATTTCGGCGACCGTAGAGATAAGCATGCAACCAACGTGTTGACACATTGGATGGTCAGAATGATTTACATGTTTCAGGCGGGTGTGGAGGAGGACACTTAGCAGTGCAAATAAAGTACCGAAAACGCCTGAATGGACGTCGGGCGCGGGCGAGGCGAAGTTGGCGGGGTGGAGAGCAGGATGGGGGTGCGGAGAGGTTACGTAAGGGCGCGCGGGCGGCAGCGACGTGCATCACGAGCGGCTGATTTACGAGTGGCCGCGTCTGCCTCGGTACGTCGCGCCACTGCGCACCGGTGCTGGCGGCGCAAATCGCGCCCGCGGGCCACGCATCGGAACGAGAATGAATATTATGACGACGGAAACAGGAATGTAGAGAAGTATCAATGCAGACTATAATGATAGAAAATATTGGGAACGTTGGCACCGGCCTACTTCTTGAGGCTTAACTGATATTTTATAAATTCCTGACACTAACTTTTCTAATTTCATAACTTTTGTCCATTGTCATTAATAATGTATTAAGACAACTTATCAACCAATGAACAATTAAGTTCAGCCTATTAAATTTTGTTAAGGGTACCTTTGTTGGGTCCACTTATGTAGGATGACTGCCCACAGGCTTCAGCGCTTCGGCCCTTTTTATCTAAACGGCATTCAATACTATTTGCTCCTGAATAACCTGAGACTTATTGATACATATTTTTCCAAAGTGCACGGAACAGTTTCAAACTTTTGTGAGTCCACCAGAGACTTGTAAGGAGAATCGAAAGAAATGCGCAAACCAAAACGAACTGCCGGAAACGTTACGTCATAGAATTTATATCCAAATAAATTGCTGGAAAATTCCTATTTGACACGAAGCGTGTTTCTGGTCACGTAAGATACTTTTTCTAGTCGCAGCAAAGTCTCGTAAAATAAATTCAGTGGTTCAGAAGCACCCTGAAGAGTGTGACGTCTACGTCATGCGAGTCATCCGCAAATTCTCACGTCCGACTGTGCGTGCTCCGTCCAATTGACACGTTCGTCCATATATCCACGCATCCTAGTGACGTCTTCTCGCACGCACTCTCGTGCGTACGCACGCACGCACTTACGATTCATGATATCCGGCACAGTATGTGCTCCTGTGACAACGCCTTTCTTACATTCAAATTCGAAGGAGGCTCTTCGATTCGCCTCTTTTCTAAATCTTGGGCCGACGTTGCTCGAAAACCAACGAACGAATCTACGACCATCTAGTTAATGCAATAGAAAACACAATGCTCGTGTAATACTTTTGCAAAGAACATAAATGTGCATACGAGACGCACTGAACGGAATCGCACAAAAAATGTTTAGACCAAAATTATTGGCTTTCTAAAGACTGTCGGCTGAATGGCATACGCTTCTTCACAATTTCAAGTAGCTAGACATTTTTGTGTACTTTTTCAACAACACATCCTTTATTTTTTGTCTTGCCTACACCCAACTAGAGCGTGAAAAGAGTTGTTTAATGCTAGGCAATACATTCAAGGAAACGTGTTTGATCCTACGTCTATAGTGCTCTGTGCAGGAGATGTTGGAATTGCCCACAAGGATCACAACTGATAACTAATTGTTTCGGTACTTAACTCAAAATAATAAAATAAAGGAGCCAGTAGACCTCACGAGGATACTTTATATATATATATATATATATATATA